GGAAAATATTGTAACATATATACTCATCTTGTAATTGTGACCACGATTATAAAGTTTCACTAGAGGCTCTAGAAGCCTTGCCTTGAGACTGGCGCTCAATTATTTTACATACTCGAACATCCCTGTACTCTGGGCTGTGGTACGATGAACTTTTTCGATGTTTTTCAATTTTCTGTACATACAGAGACATGCACCTTTTGCTAATACCACCCACGACTATACAGGGCGTCTTTGAAATAAGTAGCAAGCTTATAAGAGCTGATGGGGATTATAAAATAAGAAAATTAGGTAAACGTTTGGTGGTCCGAGAGCACCGTTTTCAATAAAAACGTATTTTAAAGTATAGGCAAGAGCCAGTCCGGTTCTGGTAGGATTACACAGGGAAACACGACAATGCAACACAGTATTCAATCACCTGGCAATTAGTAGCATCCGTGTTGTATGTCTTTTGTATTTTTGTACTTACGTATTGTTTGTTATTTGCTTGATTAGATTGTTTGATTGACGATGTTTATGTTACAGTCAGTTCTTTGTTTTTTTAACATTGTAGACTCGATCAGTCGAAATTATTTCAGTAAGTCAATGTATCACTGTCATAGGTCGGTGTAGAACAGTAATTGTTACAATGGCGTTTAGGACGGCACAATTTTGTGACATGATAATAATTTACGGCGAATGTGAACACAATATCCCCAGCGAAAACTAGCTCAGCGGCAAACCGTCTTATATGCGGTACAGAGATTAAGAAAAACTAGTTGGTACATCCTCCATGTGAGGGTGTATCAAATGCCAGTGCAGAACGCTAATGATTTTCGCGACCGTGTGATGATTGCTGCAAATGAAATATGCGAAATACCGGACCTTATTGCGAGACTCAGAGATAATTTTGGTAGACGTTTCAAAGCCTGTCTTCTGGACAGTGTAGTGGGTGTGCTTACGGTAAAAAAAAACGTTAATGCGCCTTAATGGTTATGCGGAAAACCTTAATGATATTCATTTGTCTACTAATGTGTAGTGACTTACATTTTTTAGTTTCTTTTGTGTGCTTACATGTTGAGATGTAATTTAATTAATACTGAATACTGTTAGGGAAGAGTAAATGTTGTTATTATTTCATTTACATGGTAATGGCTGCCTATAAACATTATGTGTAGTGAGCTTTGTTGATGTCTACCTTAACCGAAAGACAACTAGTACTGTTTACACAATCGATGTAGCTTTTGAGTTCGTATCTCCGTTCATAGGCTTCCGAACGTAACATTTGATTCTCCATTGCATCTCCAATACTTGCCATTTATTTCTGAAACACCCCGTATATGCATGTATTGATGAAATGCTTGTTTCTAAGAACATTTTCCGGAAAAGTAAACAATCGCAAAAGCTGTCGATTTCATGTGTGCGTAATATAAGGGACGGTCCAGCTCTAAATTCTTATAAGAAAAAGTATCTCCTTTTTTAAAGCTATAAATAAGAGCCTGAAAAGTTTTTTGGCATTGTTTTTCTCTAGAATATGAAAATATACGTTTCAAGAAGAGAATTCTACTTAAAAATAGTCTCTGCCTTTCTTTTTTGAAAAATCTAGAGCAATAAACATTTGACGGTTCGAAATAAACAACAGTTCTACATAATTTTATTCGATTTACAATTGAATGAGCTTTGCTATAACGCCTTAAAAATACGAGAAAGTTATTTCTGCAATAACAGTGCAATTGCAAAAAAATTCATTTTTGTCTGCTTTTATTTCCGTAATTAAAAATTGAATTTTACGTCTATTTGTTTCATTGATTTTATTTTCTTATAATGTCATAAAGATTTTGTAGTGTTTCAATGTAACTGATGAATCGCCTTTGTTTTTGACCCAAATAAACAGCGACATTACTAAGATGATGATTAATAGCTAAAGCAAATAATTACAGAGATATCAGAATGTGATAAATATTCAAATACTTAGTTATGTTGTATGAGCAATAAAATGGAAGCATATGTATGTATACAGGTATCGGGAATTCCATGTCAAATCGTACACCTTTTAACTTTTGGAACATGGATTTTCTAGAAGATTTTTATCGTTTTCTACCCATTTAAAATGTCAATGTCCAATTTTTTTAAATGTACAAAAATAAATCATTATCATCATAAGGTCGTCAGTCCTAAGACTGATTGGACACGCATCTCCACACTTTTCTATCCTGAGCTAATCTTCGCATTTCCCTAAAACTATAGGGTTGTTCGGAAAGTCATTTCGTTTTTTCCTGACAGAGGATTTAATTGTATTCTTTTGCACCCAACTTCACATTTAAGCCGTATAATTTTTATATGCTTTGAGAGCTCATATAGCAAGGCTTGTGTGTGAAAAATTCCAATTAATTCTACGCAGTAGTTTTTGGTTGGTGCCCTTTTAAATATGGAGAGCGATAAGCAGCATTTTCGACATATCTTACTGTTTTACTACAGAAAGGGTAAAAATGCTGTTCAAGCCAGAAAGAAATTGACTGATGTGTATGGAGAAGGTGTGTTGACAGTACGCCAGTGCCAGAACTGGTTCGCTAAATTTCGATCCGGCAATTTTGATGTCGAAGATGCACCACGTTCGGGAAGGCCGGTTGAAGCTGATAAAGACGCGATAAAGGCATTAGTTGATGTGAACCGGCGAATAACAACACGTGAGATCGGATTGAGGTTAAATTTATCAAATTCAACAGTTTATGACCACTTGAAAGGCCTGGGATTATCCTCGAAGCTCGATGTATGGGTTCCCCATGTTCTCACAGAGAGAAATCTGTGTCGCCGCATTGACGTCTGCGATTCGCTTCTCAAACGTCACGAAAATGATCCGTTTTTGAAGCGCATCATCACTGGGGACGAAAAATGGGTTGTATACAACAACGTCAAACGCAAGAGGTCATGGAGCAAAAAAGATGAACCGGCTCAAACCATTTCCAAAGCCGATATTCACCAAAAAAAGGTGATGCTGTCTGTTTGGTGGGATTTTAAAGGAATCGTTTTTTTTGAGCTTTTACCGGATAACACAACGATTAATTCGGAAGTCTACTGTCATCAGCTGGACAAACTGAATGATGCACTTCAACAGAAAAGGTCAGAACTAATCAACAGGAAAGGTGTAGTGTTTCACCAAGACAACGCGAGACCTCACACAAGTTTGGTCACTCGCCAAAAGCTTTTACAGCTTGAATGGGATACAATGCTACACCCACCATATTCTCCAGACCTGGCACCATCGGATTATTATTTGTTCCGGTCACTCCAAAATTTTTTAGACGGTAAAACCTTCACCTCAAATGAGGAGGTCAAAAACCTCCTCGATCAGTTTTTTGCCAGCAAAGACCAAAAATTTTATGAGCGTGGAATTATGCTACTACCAGAAAGATGGCAAAAGGTGTTGGACCAGAACGGTCAATATATAATTTAATAAAATATTTGTTTATTATACGAAAACTGTCTTTCATTTCCACAAAAAAAAAACGAAATGACTTTCCGAACAACCCTATAGAACAACCCATATCCTTAACTATTTGCAAACAGTAATATAACCTAGGTCTACCTCTACCCCTCCTAACTCACTTTTAATTGCTGTGTGCTGGATGGTGTATCATATCTATTATCTATTATCTACCTTCCTTCGCCCAAAGAAGTAAAATTACTCTAATCTAAAATTATTCTTCGTTGCAGAAATTAATAGAGACAAGGTATTCCTGAGTAGGTACTGTTTCAGTTAGGAGACGTCCAATAGTGAAAAACGTTTTCATGATGTCAAGAATATTAGGTTTGATTCTGACTGATTGGATCATGTTGAATTCGAATACTCCATTCATTTTGGTACAATTTCAATATTTATCACTAAAAGCATGAATTTTATCGACTTTTGTTTGCAACTTTTTCAATTAGCATTGAAGAAATTGTTCATATTCTTACGGATTATGTTAGAATACATAGGAATCCATTTTTCAGTCATCAAAATCGGCCAAGAATTGGCCAACTTTGACGCCCCCTTAGCAGAAAAGCTATTACCTATGGAATCGAAAAAAGTTATAGACACCTCATTTGCAATATTATCAGATCGTCAGATGGCCCATTTCAAAGGATAAAAGCATTACTCTTTTTTCACAGGACTCATTATAAACGACAAGTGCAACACTTGTTTATAATAATTGTACCCAGTGAGTCCTCTGTTCTTCTATTTTTTGTAATACCTCTTCATTTCTAACCTCTATCCACGGTAGCCTCATCATTCGCCTTTAACACCAAATTTCGAACGCTTCTAACCTTTTCGTTTCTGCCGCGCACACTGTCCATGTTTCGCACCCGTAGCCGTACGCCGCGTTCCAAATATACACCTTTAACAATCATTTTCGAATTTCTAAATTAACCGTTCGCAAGCATAGAAGTGTCTTCATTTTATTGAAGGCGATACTACCCTGCGCTATCCTCTACTTTATATCCTTCTTACTCCTTCCGCCCTGACTTATCTGACTTCCTAGATACCTAAAATCAGCCACTTCTTCTAATGTTTCGTCTCCTATCTTTATATTCGCTCTTTCCCTACTTTTTCGTCCCTTGCATACCAGTATTTTTGTAAAATAAATAAAACAAAAATATGAAAAAGGTTTTTTTTACAGTTAAAATTGTAGATAAACTATTTTTCAACTTGTACAACTTTTTTTTGATGCAACCATTATGTTATGTTAGGCTATAAAACGATTTTTTTTTGTTTTCCAATTTTTAAATTTTCTAAAAAAAAAATACCGAAAACTTAGGAGTCGTATTCATACAGAGATATTCCATTAGTTACCCTTTATATCGTAGTGGAGGTCCCAAAACATTTTCGATTTAAAGGTCATTTCTTTCCCTATAAAAGGATTAAAGCGAGAGCTAGCTTAAAAAACTTAGTTAAAAAGAAAAATAAATTAATTGAAAACAAAAAATGCAACTAGTCGTATGACGAATATTTTTAACTACATAAATTCTATCTTTTGTTTCAGCCCACAAGAGATGCAACAGGTGCTGCTTTAGTGGTATTTACAGCTCAAAGGCATATACCAGCGACTTCCACTCACCAAACAACTTTACAGGGTGTCGTATACCAATTGGACGCAGCCCTTCAAGATCCCATAACTCAGAGAGCTGGAATTGTTTTTATTTACGACATGACCAACTCCAAATACTCGAATTTCGATTATGATCTGTCACAAAAAATACTCACGTTGCTCAAGGTAAGAACAAATCCGATTCCATCGTCACATCGTCAGTAAAAAATGGGTTTACAAACATAAAACCCCCAAATAACTTTTACATACGTAAACCAAAATAATATTTAGAATTAATAACAGGTCAGGGCTTATGTGCCTTGAAACTTCTGGCCCGTATGCTATCTCACCCAGAATATTAACCCGATGTAACGTAAACTTCCAAACACGAAGCATTTCACTTCGCCTAACCCTAGAGGCTGTGTTTAATGCAAAATTATGCGGCGATTTTAATTAATGATCCAAAAATGTTTATTACATTGTCCACATCGAAAGGTTTTGCGATTTTCTCATCGAAAATTTCGCTTTGTGACCAAAGGGTAGGGTTGCCATCTCTAAAATTTGGAAACCAGGACAAGATGCGTGAAAACCCCGGATTTTAGAGTCCAGAATCCGGACATGTCAACAGGTTTTTTTTAAACATAGTGTAATAAAAAACAGTTGAAAATGTCATAAAGTCACAGTGCGAGTGTCGCGGACGGTCCAAGATTTTAAATTTTTAAACCCGGACTACAAATGAACCCCCCCCCCCGTCGCTCTCCAGATGCTCTCTAAACTAGGACAAATCCGGGGAAACCCGGACGGATGGCAACCCTACCAAAGGGTGACAAAAAACAGCATCCTTACCTAGGAACGAGATTAACGCGTACGTACGTTTTCTATCTAGGCGCGTAATACATATACGAAGTCTGTTCAAAAAGTATCGCGTATTTTGAATTTCCGCGGGTTACGTAAGTACATTCGATTTTCGATTGTTTTGTGGCGTTATGTTGGTACTCATGTCTCTCACTTTTACCGACAAGTTCGGGCATGTTGAATGTTCAGTTAACTTTTGACAGCTGCTGTGCTTTCACGTGTTTTGGCTCGTGTTCGATTTTTGCCTATTCCAAAACATGGATCAAATATCAAATTTTGTGTGAACAACAAAATTAAGTGCGTGGATGCATTTGGAATGTTGACTGTCGCATATCGTGAAGCTACCTTGGACCAAATCAACGTTTATCGGTGGTTCAAAATGTTCTCAGAGGGCGGAGAAGATGTGAACTACGAAAAGTGTGCTGGACTCCCGAGCGCGTCAACAACAGACGAAACAATTGATGAAGTGAAGAAAATAATATTGACCACTCGTCGAATCACCGTTAGAGAAGTTGCTGAGGACCTTTGTCTTAATTATCAAGTGCTGATTATAGGACGAAAAAAAAAATACCTACTGGATGAAAATTAATGAAATTTATTTCATCAAAAAGGTTCAACATAGTGCAAAGCTGCATCATAAGATCAAATGTGCGTATTATGCCGGTTAATTTAGCGTCTTTAGACGTTAGTAATGAAATTCTTAGTTGCTGAAATTTTTCCACATCTTTTGACGTCAAGGCAATTCGAATCTTTATTTTTTTTAACATCAATTGGAACATCAATGTTTTTCTTCATTTAGATTCGTAAGCAATACGATGCTACGTTCTTACGAAATAAATTTGGAATAAATAACTAATCGTAAGTAAGTTGATATTTAATTGCGGCAGTTTCGCTTCCAAGATATAATCTGATCGATTCCACCGAAAGCTCGAAATAGAAATCTGAGAAATCAAAGAATCGACGTAGGTCAACTTTAATTCAGTTTTCCCAGAAGGCAACTCGGCTGGCTTTTCACGGGAAATTGATAAATCGATTCGACCTTACTCTGACGTTAATTTTCTGTTGGCTTTTACGACCGAAGATTGTGTTTACTTATAGCCCATTGTTTACACTGTTTTAACCCTTAAGAAAGCTACAATTTTAGCACCAGTTGAAGAGTACTGCACCAGTAGGTATTTCATTTATTTATTTATTCAAAGAAAAAGACGAACAAGGATTCATTTCAACTAAAACGAGAAAAATACAGAAAGGAGTTGCTACAGAAAACAAATATTTTGATCAAAGGTTAAAATCCTTAAAAAGTGGCAGAAAGTCCGCAATAAGTATAATATTAAATGACTCAGCCCATTTAATTTTATTGGTACTGATCTTAGGAAAGTTTAGGACAAGTATTTAATAATTGCAGCGCAGTTATTTGCCAGCGTTTCGATTGAGCGAATTCAGTCTTCCTTGGTATTCTAAAAAAAAAACATGTTTAAACTGAAGTCTCAAAATCAAATTGAAATAAAACATATTAATTAATGTAAGTGTATTAAAAGTAAATACAAGTTATTGCACATTATTTATTACGATTTCAGTGTAAACATTTTTTTAGAATCCTGAATTCTCTGTCGAAATTTTGGTAAAAAAATGGTGTACACTGCAACTATTGTTTCGCCATTTAGAGTCAAACTTCCTTAAGGCTTAACTAGAAAATAAGTGTCTAGTTTCTCATCCGAGATTTTTTGTAGTATTTATGTTTGCACATAGAACAATTTAAATGCGTAACATATAAAGATAAGTACACACATACCATTTTTTAGGGTCCTGTACCCCAGGGGGACCTTTGTAGGATTTTTTGTTACATGTCTGTCTGTCCCTTAAAACCCTTTTTCTCGGGAAGGAGTGAAGGTTTCAAGTTGAAACAAATGTCATTTAATATTTTTACCTCTTCAATCGTAGCGTAGCGTCGTCCTTTTATGGGCCTCATCAGTTTTGGGAACAAGAAAAAGTCACGGGGGGCAGATTTGGGGAATATGGCGGTTACAGCATTATCAGTGTGTTGTTTTTTACCAAAAATTCACGCAGAAGCAACGATGTGTGAGCAGGGGAATTATCATGGTACAAAAACTTTTTTGTTCTTCCACAAATCCGGGCGTTCCTGGCGTATTGCTTCGCACAAATTACGCATAACTTGCAGGTGATATTCTTTATTGATCGTTTTACCCCGTGACGAGAATTCGGGATGCACAACGCCACTGCAATCGAAGAAAATCGTAAGTAAATCCTGCACATTCGACCTAACTTGGCGTGTTTTTTTCTTGTCTTGGCTCCGGAGCAAATTTGGGTCGTCGCGGATAGAGTCCAACGGCTCCGCAACAATGTTACTGGGATGCTGTTTTTGATCGAAATTGAGTAATTTTGGTACGAATTTCGTAGCGACTCGTCTAATGCCCAAATCATTGGTAATAATTGATAATGTTTAGGTCCTCAGCAACTTCTCGTAACGGTGATTCGACGATTGGCCAATACTATTTTCTTCACTTCATCAATGTTGACGTGCTCGGGCGTCTGGTACGCTCTTAGTCGTTCACATCCCCTCTGCCCTCGGAGAATATTTTGTACCACCAATAAACGTTGCTTCGGTCCGAGGTAGCTTCACCATATGCCACAGTTAACATTCGGAATACGTCCGCTCACTTAAGTTTGCATTTCATACAAAATTTGATATAGATTCTTTGATCCATTTTTTGGAATAGGCAAAAATCGAAGACGAGCCACAACACGTGCAAGTAAAGCAGCTGTCAAAAATTAACTGAACATTCAACATGGCCGAACTTGTCGGCATAAATGAGAGACATTAGTACCAACATAACGCCACAAAAAAAATCGAAAATCGAATATACGGAACCCGCGGAAATTCAAAATTCACGTTACTTTTTGAACAAATCTCGTATGTATATTGCATTAATATAAACATTAAATAATAAATAAAATGACTGACCTAGAGCTGAATACAACTCTAAACACCAGATTGTGTGTTGGTGATCACAAATTTTGTTTTCATATTGGTACAGTATGACGTTGAGGTATATTACACGTTTAAAGAGTACGTTACCATCCCTGGTCTGAAACCATGACACATCCATAATATATGCAGTACACATAGGTAGAGTACATCGACATATGCATATATACATATACTATAAAGTACTCATCAGTGCGTATAATATGTATAACTAGTGACCCGCCCCAGCTTTTGTTTTGTTTAGATTATTATCGAAAAGGGGAAATCTTGAAAAGATACTCCCTGAACCTACTAATTATACTACAGAATGTCTTTATATACAACATTCATAGTTTTTTGTCATTAGACAATACAAACCGGCCGGTACCGCCGCAACCGCTATGTCCCTGCATTTTAAATCTGTAATATCTTCGAAAATATTCATTTAAATTACATGCTGTAAAGGGCCATATTGATCTATATTAAATGCACAATGTATTTAAGGTACTTAATTGGAT